GAACTCAGAAAAGAACCCAAGAGCACCTTCCTATGTCTCCGTTCTTACAATAGCTGTTAAGTACTCCACCGACAGTGAATTCATCTGGTGTTAGTCCTTTAGCTTGTTATCATAGTGAAGCTTCAATACTTCATGTAGTTGACCTAAGTTGCTACATCCATCAATGATGAAATGTATATGTGAGTATTCAATCTAAAGATTCTTTAGGGACATTTCCTCGAACAACTTCCTTGCATCTTCTAAAAGATCTTTTGATAAAGTGTCAATGGGTATTACCATGTGATTTCTGAAGGAATTATATAATAAACAGTAAATTCATAAACGACCATTCAAGAACTGCAATTAAGGTTATTTTTAATTTTTCCTTTACAAAAGGTCTCTTTCACTCGCATCCATTTTTCTGGAGATTTACGTGATAGCAAAATTGAAAACTTCATGGACCTATGATATGGAATTCATGCTTATTATCAAGCTGATCAAATTCCAAAATTTTTGGAGCAGTGTCCTAAAACTTTCAAGTAGCTTATTAATTGCGCTGCCACTTGGTTTAATGCGGTGCTTCTTCCTCTCCTTCTAATAAATATATAGATTTAGAGGTATTTAAAGGCTCTGTATTGGCTTGATTTTATGAATAAAGGGTGCGCTTTTGCTACCTTACAATGTTTGATTGCTGTCTACTTGTGCTGGAATTTTCAATGGAATTTATGGAAATGATATTGTGGTTCTCTGTTTCTCTGATATTCACTGTCATCTGTTGATTTTGATATGAAAATATCTTGGTTTTTATATTTTTCTACTTGATACAAAGAAATAGAAAGGAACTTGGACTTGTTTAGGAATTTCGATGAATTTGAGATAAATCATAAACATTTAATGATGGGAATTATCTGAATTCCTGGGTCTATGAAATAAAAAAGAATGTGTCTCACTTATTTTCAGGTAAGATTTACTACTTTTTTGTGTGCTCGGGGAGGGTTATATAGATAAAAATAAAACATTAACCGAGTGGAATCAATGACTTAAGCATTTCTATTAAGGGCCTTTACAAAGGTATAGGTGGCTACTGAGCCTGGGCCATCTCAGCCTTGAAGTTGGAAGACCAACTCATATGTCAATGGTGGAAAAAACTCGTGTTTGATATAGGTTTCTTGCTATTGGGTTTCCGGTTTCCTAAGTTTCCTCCTGGTGACATTTTCTGTCCACATATTTACCTCCCACTGATATTGTTTTCCAGGCTAAGAAGAGAAAGCTTGGACTACTTGAGGATGATGATGTGTCCAAACTGGAAGATCTGACTTCAACGAAAGAAAAAGTTGGAGGAGGAAGGGTAAATGATGGCTCAGCTTCTTTTGTTAAACAACGAGGTAAGTGGAGTTTTTTTTTCTTTATGTTCATTATTTGTAGTTGGCAAAGGAAGTGGGAGTGAAATTAGAGGGCTTACTCCTTTTTTCTTTCTTTGATCTTGATGCTTGATTTTATGATGTAGATAACTCTGAAAGGGCTTTCTACAAGGAGTTGGTCAAAGTAATTGATGCTTCGGATGTAATTCTGGAAGTGCTTGATGCTCGAGATCCTCTTGGTACCCGCTGTCTTGACATGGAAAAGATGGTGATGAGAGCAGGACCTGAGAAACATCTTGTGTTACTCCTCAATAAAATTGGTATTTTTTTTGTTCTATTATTGTTAGCATTATCCTGCATCTGCTTGTGTTTTCTTTTCTTTTACAGTACTTATCGAAGATAGCTACAGTGATATACCCCATGTCTTATACTATGTCATTCAGAAAGTAAAAGGCTGTTGGTTGAAGTTTTTAATCATAGAAGCACAAAGAAGTGGATATTGGTTATGATGTGTGAAATATATATATGTAAAATAATTTCCATATCTAAATATAATATGTATGTGTACGTGTCTCAGCTTTTCAGCCTTTTGATATAGGTCACTAACCTATATTCTGGTCTGTTTTTTTTTTTGTTCTGGAAATGTTGCATCAGATTCCTAGATTGTTGATGGTTCATACAATGTTCTGTAGAGAAACTTTGAAGGGTTACTTTTTCATTGTTACTTGGATTAGATCTTTTACTTCTCAACTATTTTCTCCAGATCTCATTCCTCGGGAAGCTGCAGAAAAGTGGCTAAAGTATCTAAGAGAGGAATTACCAACGGTTGCTTTCAAGTGTAGCACCCAAGAACAGAAGTCAAACCTGGGTTGGAAGCCTTCCTCAAAGGCTGGTAAGAGTAAGACTAGCAATCTTCTGCAGACCAGTGATTGTCTTGGAGCCGAGACACTGATAAAATTGCTGAAGAATTACTCACGAAGCCATGAGGTACTTCCAGGATCATCTTTATGGGGTTCTCTCTCTAGTTTGTGTTGCAGTTGAGTTTTGGAATATGCATTGGAACTTCAACTTGATACTTTTTGCACAAAGTGCTAGTAACCAATGGGTTTAATTGTTTTCTTTCTCATTCAGATAATTTGAATTTCAAATGAATGCTTTTGGGACTTCAAAATTCTAATGGATAAAGCCAGGTGGAATTTAAAATCTACAGTAGCTTGACATTATAATCCCCATTTCTCAAATCCTCTCTTACACTTTGGACATTTCAAGTCTCTTATCTCTGTCAGTTGTGGGTGTGTTGGGTGTCTCTGAATGTGTTATTAAGAGAACTTTGCTTTCTAAGAATCAAGATGAACTAGGAGACATTAAACTTCGTCATCAACATCGAGAAGTTGTTTGAGCTTCTCTGGCAAAGTTACTTGCACTTTACATGCTCTTTCAAACCTTGAACTTATCGTTTGATAAAAAAACTTGGAACTCATCATATGTGCAGCTTGTTTAGCTGCATTTAGGTGGGTGCACCTGGGAATGACTATCTTGTCACATGTAAATGCCCAATTATACTTGACCACTATCGACATGGGTGCGTTCTATGGTAAAATTCTTGTGCATTTAGATGCATAAGATGAAAGGTTTTGGAGGAATAAAATAAGAAGAAATTTAAAATACTTCATAGACCTTTCTTTGTCTAGTTTAGTCAATCATGTTATTTCATTTTGCAGTATGCTTGAGTTATTCTTTGTTACCCACTAATGATAATTTCTTGCAGATCAAGAAATCAATCACTGTAGGAGTCATTGGTCTACCAAATGTTGGTAAAAGTAGCCTGATTAATAGCTTGAAAAGATCTCACGTAGTCAATGTAGGTGCTACTCCAGGATTAACGAGATCCCTGCAAGAAGTCCAGTTAGATAAGAATGTTAAATTGCTGGACTGCCCTGGGGTTGTGATGCTTAGGTCTGCATCTGAAGATGATGCATCTATTGCTCTTCGAAATTGCAAGAGGATAGAGAAGTTGGACGACCCAATTGGTCCTGGTAATTGGATTTTGTTTCCCATTTTTGCTTCTGATTCTACTCTTTCAATAGTATTGATGTATCTAATTGCTAGTTCTGTGGGTTTACAGTGAAGGAGATTCTCAAACTTTGTCCAGAAAGAATGATGGTTACCATATACAAGGTTCCAACCTTTGATTCCGTGGATGACTTTCTTCAGAAAGTTGCTATGGTTAGGGGTAAGCTCAAAAAGGGAGGAATTGTTGATGTTGATGCTGCTGCAAGGATCGTTCTGCACGACTGGAATGAGGGTATGTGTGAATACCATCTAGTTCCCTTCTAAAGAATTAAACTTCAAAAATATGAGGGAGTTTCACGCTCATAGCTGAAGTCACCATATTATTAAAATCTGATGTCCCATGGACACATTCCAGGGAAAATTCCATACTACACCTTGCCCCCAACCAGGAACAAGGGGGAGCATTCAGAGGTCAAGATAGTTTCAGAACTTGGGAAAGAATTCAATATCGATGAAGTTTATGGAAGTGAGTCCTCTATGATTGGAAGTCTGAAATCTGTCAACGATTTTAACCCAGTTGAAGTTCCATCAAATCGGCCTGTTAGCTTTGATGATAACATGCTCGAGGTAAGTGATTTCCCTGTTATACTTCTAGGAACACTACTTGTATTTAATTACTGTTGTATTCTGTAATTGCTGTACCTTTGACCATTTCTGAACTTCATATGTTATCAGTTTTAGATGATAGCATCTAGTTTTGTATTTAAAGGCTGCTTTGGCTATTAAGTCATCTTTGAATGCTCTTTGAACCCAATTATCATACGTGGCCATTTTTTTTGCGTTCTCCATTTATGAGCATGATTCTCACAACTATAGTCTTTTTCAAAAGAGTCTTGAATTATGTTTCCTATTTACATTTCAGGACTATTTGCAGCAGCCATTGGCTGAAAATGATAATGCCACAGAAAACCTTGTTAGTGAGAATGGAGATGAGCCAATGGATTCCGGAGAAGGAGATGGAGCCCAGATGAGGGGAAAAAGTGCTAGTAGTAGACAGAATGAGAAGTTATACGGTGAGGAAGGCATGTTGAACACTAAACAGAAGAAAGCTGAGAAGAAAAGGAGGAAGAAAGACAAGCCCTCAACTGCCAGTGATATGGATGGCGATTATGACTTTAAGGTAGATTATATCAAGAAAGATTCTGCTATGGATGATGCCGATGAAGTTGTAGCAACTGATGAAAGTAAGAACAACAGATTTGAGCTGCCATCTGGGGTTGAGTTGGATAATGAATGACGATAAACTCCCAGCTAGGAACTATGCTTGAAATTAGTTTTTGTGGTTGCTGAATTTTTGTTTGCCTTGTAAAATATATTTGATACCAGAAATCTTTTCTGTTGTACTAAATTGAGGCCATTATATATCACGATAAACATTTTTGTCCATTGCATCTCGTCTCTTTCCCCAGTTTAGTTTGTCTCATAATCTACAGACGAAATATGAAAAACGAGTCCACAGACATGTTATTTGCACGACTAATTTGTAAGTCACAAATTTAGTCTTTCTGTTCTGTAAATTAGAGAATTTCTTGATGTGGTGATAGCTTTATCATCTATATACAATTTTTTGCACCATCAACACGACTTACAACATTGTACTAGAATTTATTAAGTTTTATCAACTATGTATGTAAAGTGAAAAGGTACAATATTTATGGTGAAATGATATTCACAGAGAAAGTTCTGTTCCTCTTCCACAAGTATCATACTGTTCCATTGAACAAATCTAAACTAGGTATAACAAGGTTTCATCACAAGGATGAATGTAATACAACTACAGTATCAGTCTCCATTTGATATCCCTAACTCAGAGTCCTTGGTAGGCTGGGAATTTATGTTTGTTCGTGGACTAGCTATGTTCCCAGAAGCTGAGGCTGCAGTTGCTGTCGATGTATCTGCTTCAAACGAGTTGGAAATAAGTCCTTGTGTTTCCATCGTTTCACGTGCTGCCTTCTCTTTGGCTTGTTTGGCTCTTTCAAGAACCTCCTCCTGTTTTTGCACAAACCATTGAGGTTACACATTTCTCGCGAAGTAGTCTATAATCTTTATTACTAAGGATTTTAAACAACTCTGGACATCCAGGAATCATAAACAAGAATTATCGTTACGATGCTTAGCCTGTGAATAACATAGTAAAGATACACAGGCTGATTGTGTGTATACCAAGAGGAAACATTATGCAAAATTTTAGCTTTTTCTAATTTTACAGGTTTTCTTGTAGTTGTTGGTAAATGCCAATCCGAAACTATTAAATATCATTGAATGAGGGCCTCCCAAAGGAAAATAAAACAAATTGCTCAGACCATTCATATTAATTAATGTAACTTATAGCATTTAGTTTTGCAACTTCAACTACTTAATACCTGAAAGTCCTGAACTTGCTTTTGTTGCTCTGCTTGCAATCTGCCAACTGTACTTAGGAACTCCCCTACTGTAGACTCTATGCGCTCAGTAACTGCTTCCGCCAGAGCTTTACCTAAAAAGAACGCATCAAGGATATTCTTACTCTCATTTTCACCTGCAAGAGAGATGATTTTAGTTATTGGAAGATATGCAGGAATCTAGCAAGACTGAAGAAACAACAAATTAGTGACTAATCTCATATTATAAAGGAAACTCGATGACACCCTCCGTGCACCCAACCAAACCAAAGCAAGAGGAAAAAGAAAGTCTAGAGAAGCCAAAAAGAAATGGGAAGAACTAATGGAAGGTGTATTCTCGGTTTCAAGTTACAAAGCAAGTCTCTTTGAACCGCTACTACAAATCATAAAAAATTGCAGGCTCTTCAAATGGAGCAGAGAGAGAATTTATTCCAAATGAAGGGAGATGTCCCAAGTCAGAAGGACTGTACAATAGACAAGAACTCCCAAGGCAGAAGATGACTTTGCAGTCAGTAGAAGTTTGCATTCTGGACACAAAAATGATAGAACTACTCTATTAATTCTAATTGATCAGTATGTAGAACTTGTATATCAAGGAAGACACAGCCCTCAAGATGCTTCTCTTTTTCTGTTGAGCATCTTGATGATTCGTTGTACTTGGTTATTTCGTGTGGTCACAATTAGATCTCCTAGCTGTAGAGTCACAGTCATAGCTTCTAAGTTTTAATTATCCATATCACTCTGGCCAATCACATAACTACCAAACTGGAACTACTTTAACACAAGGTAAGGCATATTTAATAATACAAACCAAAGGCTTCGACTATTATCCAACATCCGTAGCTTAAGTATACCGTATGACTAGGCAGGATATACTGTACCTCCTTCATATCACCTTTGCTAAACAATATTTTTTAGCATACAAGCAGCACACCACCATACCATAATGGTACCAAGGACAACAAATAGAGACAAATATGAGAAGTGGGTGATATTCCCTACTGAATAACAAAAAATTAAAATGAAATAGCAGTGGAGAAATGGCAAACCAATCCAAGTTAGCCAATACAGCTTTTAAACAAACAGAACTGAAACAAGAATTCTTTGCTCCTCCCTTTGTACCAAGAAGCAAGTCCAAAACACAAGTGTAATGGATTAGTCTATTATAAATTACTCCTCTGACTTATATTACGTGACACCCTTTCCTGTTTAATCTATCTAAAAAGAATGACATCTTTTTCTTTTTTGAATTTGTTTAAATTAACATTCCCAGTTTAAACTTAATGACACGACTTGTGGACCCACTTGATAAAGTTCATTCTTTTACAATGAGAGAGAAAAAGAAAGACATGTGAAATCCTCACCGAGCACTCATGTAATAGGATAATTAGGGTACTTAGGGTATGGCTTACATGTCAAACATCTTCTTCAATTTATTAAACTCCGTATCCGGTCAAACACCTACATATAACACAGGGGAGGGAATATTAGTTATGGAGATATCTCAGACATCTTGAATAAGGTGGTGGGACACGTTTAATAGTTAGAGTTCTATCTCTAGGAAGGAAGTCACTATTGGGAAGCTCACTCTAGGTCGGGCTCAAAGCAGAAGGTCGAACCTATCATCTCGCAAGAATCATAAAGTTAAAACTAATCAATATGGACATGTGAAGATTTTTTTTCCCCTTAATTCTCCGGGATCAATAGTAATTCTAGTTTTAGACAAGTTTCCTTTGAAGTAGATATGACTACCAAGTATATCTGGTATCTTACTCCTTGCGACTCAAGGCCCCAACCGACCAGTTAGACAATTTGCATAAGGGAGAAACCATAACTTATCATCATGGATACTAAAAGCAAGCGACTGGATTCAAGATCTTCAGTCAGTACGTTTTCAGTCACTGATGCCACATCAACAACAAGTTTTAAGTCAGTAAATGTGCAATACCACAACACAGCAGCAGACCTACATTATGACTACAGAGTGCACGTTCACCCATAATTGGTGGCTCAAGAACAGAAATGTGGGTAGGAAACTATAAGAAAGGTCATACTGGAAAAGGAGGTCCATCCTCAAAATGCACTCATGGGTGCCCCTGGCAAGAAGCTGCTCCTTTGTTCTTTAATTGCACATCAATCACAAGTTAAATTCATGTCTTGCACATAGAAGCTCTTTCTTTCTTTTCCTTTTGTCACTTCGATTTGGCACTCGAACTCTAATACGAAAGACTGCTCATGGCAAGTGTGAAAGTGAGAATTAATACACAAGTGATTCCCAGTAGAGGAAGTAGAGGAAGTTTCAAGTACCTTGGGTCAATAATCCAAGAAAACGTGGAGATTGATGATGATGTTGGCCATCGTATTAGAGCGGGGTGGATGAAATGAAGGCTCACATCCGGTGTGTTGTGTGATAAGAATGTCCCAACAAGACTTAGAAGGTAAGTTTTATAAAGTGTTTATGAGACAAACTATGTTATAAAGGGCAGATTGTTGGCCAATCAAAAACTCGCAAATTCGGAAGGTGAAAGTAGTGGAAATGAGAATGTCGAGATGGATGTGTGAGCATACTAGGAGAGATAAGATTAAAAATAAAGATATTCAAGACAAGGTGGAGGTGACTTTTGTGGTGGACAGGATAAGGGAGGTAAAAATTGAGATGGTTCCGGCATATGAAGAGGAGATGCACCAATGAGAAGGTGTGAAAGGTTGGCTATGGTGGGTATGAGAAGATGTTGAGGTAGGCCAAAGAAATACTGCGTCGGGGTGCTTAGACATGACATGGCTCACTTGACCCAAGATAGGAGGATACGAAGGTAGAGTATTATGGTAGAAAGTGAGTAGATAGTCGAACATTGTCTAGTTTTCCTTATTAATATTCTTATTATTCCTCTCCTACATTCTAATCATTATGCGTCAATTACCTTATAATTGTTCATTTTGTTGTTTCTATTATTCTCTTCTCATTTACTTTTAACATGACTTCTTCATTATTCTATTTTCATTCCATACTTGATTTTGATATGCCTTACTTAAGTTGAAGGTTTATCGAAAACAACCTCACTACCTTCACAAAGTTAGGAATAAATCGACATACACACCACTCCACAGACTCCACTTGTTAAATTACACCGGATATGTTATCGCTGTTATTGTACTTAATTAAACATGATTATTTGTGTTTAGTATACTACATATTAACTTATCTCTTTTGTACACACTTTTTTCCAAGACTAAACCCTTTCCATCCTTTCATCAACTTCAAACCCTTCCACTACCAGAACAATTACTGGGTGACAGTAATATACACCACTACTTCCTTAAAAGGCTAAACATAAATACATGTTTAAAAGATTGTTGAAAAAAATAGGACATACCAGGAGGAGGAGGAGGGTTAGAACTGAAATTACAAGTGAAAGTGAGTGGTGCAACATTTCCACTTCTGTTTGTGGTTGGAAAAGAGGAATTCCATGGGGGAATGATGCAATTACTTTGGAGACGATGAGTAGGAGAAGGAGCAGGAGAATACAGTGAGGAAATTGTGAATACCCCACTCATAATCTCACTTGAATTTCAGATCTGATTGATTCACTGATTTTCGATGGGATTTTTTTTTCTTACCTGTGGTGGGCTGCTCTACTCGTATTCTTCAAATTTGTTTTTAACTTTATAGTACTAATATTTCTATTCATTCTTTCCACTCTTTTCTTTTGGTAAGAGGAGTAGGTGGAGATAAATTAAAGAAAAGGGAAAAAATATCTTTAAATTACGTGAAATTGAATAAAAATATTTGAGTCATTAATATTTAAGTTCAAAAATGTTTATCTTGTTACTTTTAGGTCAAAAGTGTCATTTTTTGAATGAATATTTTTTTTTTAATTTTTAGAATACATTATTTTCTTAATAAAATATTATTTCTAAAGAATCTTTTTCCTTTTAAAGCTCTTTTTATCAATTAAAATAGAATTACATTATATACTTTAAAAGCTGATTATATATATATATGGTAACAATATTAAAATTCTTATTTAGATAATAATTTTAAGAAAATTCTAATAAGATAGAAAATATTTTGTATTTCTTAACATTTTTCAAATTGAAGTAGGATAAACATTTGCTAATATATTTTAAAATTTTAAAATTAATATGAAAAAGAGTTAACAATAACTCCTTGATATTTTAAAGATATTTTATAATTTAAAAAATGTAATAAATCTTTGTGTTTTATGACATTATAATTGCTATATCTTAATTTTAATATTAGCATATGCTTATGCTTCTTCAATTAAAAGAATATTAAGAAATAAAACTATTATCTATTTCATTAGGAAAAATAATTTTATCATTAAATAACAATTAATATGTTCTTTTATATAGAAAAAATAATGATGTGTTATAATATTTTTATCAAGAAAAAGTTATGTTTTTAAGAAATAATAATAATTGTGTTTAATGATGGAGGTGATAGTGTCTAATTAATCTTGTCACATTCTATTTTTTCAAATAGGACGTAACTTCGTCGGGCTGAACAAAAATAATTAATTTAAAATTTTGGAGTATTACAGTTATCTCCTAATTTTAGAAAAATTTAAAAACCCTATTAAAAATTCAAGAAATTGTATTACGAAATCAATTAGATTCTATATAAGAGTCTAAGGTATTCCAAAGAAAAGTTATTAACACCCTTCAGAAACCATAACTATGGATCTCGATTGAACTCATTTTTTTCGATTGAGGAGATAATTCTTTTGTTTTTTCACGAATATAATAACCATAAAATATATACAGAGAATAAAGTAAAGTATTAATGAAAGACAACCTAATATTTGCATATCGTCAATAACATAGATCAACAATAAGAAGAAATTAGAAAATTATTCAAAATGCCTTTTGAGTGTGTTCCTCGAAAAGTAGCTTTGAGTACCTAGAAAACACTTAGTAAAAGTGTTTGTAATGAATAAATATTGATCAAACTAAAGTAAGGAAATGATAATAAAAAAATAAAATTCAATTTATGTATGTGTCATGAGAGACCTTGAAAATCAATTAAATTTCTTCATCGGCCAAGTATCGTAGTATCTTGCTCAAATTAGTTAATATCCAAGAATTATAATATTAAAAATGTGGAAAATAGATAAGCACAAAACCAAACACGAATGTTACAAAAAAAATAATAACAATTTCATAGTAAGATAACAAAGAACGGAGCAACAATAACAAAACTAGAGCAACAACCATAATGAAAATAACAATTTTTTTTTTTAAATTTAAAGCAACAATAATAAGAATGATAAAACTATAGTGACATCTAAAGCAAAAAGAATCATTGACTTGAATTTGCAATTGATAAAAAAAGCCGTTCTCAAGATAGCCGCAGTTGATGTTGAAATTTCATCCAAAAAATCTAGTTTGCTCACAGAAGAAAAGAGCAATGAAGAGCTCTCATATGAAGAAAGTAAAGATATTTTCAAATAGATATCAACAAAGCATATCACAACCTAAATGAAGCAAAAGAGATACGTTTCAAGAAATACAAGTGGGACAAGCTAATATTTATCTTTTGTATTTAAAGTATTTTTTATACACAATGTTTTTATTATTTCGTTTCTAGAATGTATAGCTGGTAGAATTCTGTTACGAAAGGGTTCATTTTTTCATGTATAAATAGGTGTACAGAGTAATGAAAAAATACACAGAAAATTTCTCCATCTTTTATCTTCAATTTCTTCATAGTACCAGAGCAAGGTTTGATAAAACTGCTCATTGTTTAATCTGTTCATTCTTTCTTCTTTCCTTATGGCTATAAAAGAAGAAACCCCTGCAGTTAAAGGTGCTGGATCTCCTTCCATGGATCCCAGTTACCTTTATTTTCTGCATTCCTCAGATCATCCTGGGATGAACTTGGTCAATACCATTTTCGATGGCATAGGGTATGAAGGCTGGCGTAGGTCAGTCCTCATTGCTCTTTCAACCAAAAATAAAATAGCCTTCATCAATGGGACTTGTATTGCAGTTGCTTCAAATTCTCTAGAGTTCAAATTCTGGAGTAGGTGTAATGATATGATTTTGTCATGGCTTTTTAATTCTCTCTCAAAAGAGATTTCTGCTAGTGTCATATACTCCGTTACTGCAAAGAACCTCTGGACAGACCCAGAGGATAGGTTTAGACAACCAAATGGAGCACAATTATACCACCTACAAAAAGAACTGAATGATTTAGTTCAGGATACAAATGACATAGCTGGTTATTTTACAAAGATAAAGAGAATATGGGATGAACTCGACACTTTAAATGAAAATATGAGGTGTGGTTGTAATTGCAATTGTGGTGGAAAGGATAAACTCACTAAGTCTTTGCAAGATGAGAGACTTATTCATTTTCTTATGGATTTAAATGAAGCTTATGCCTCTGTTAGGGGAAACATTCTCATGATCACTCCTTTGCCCAGTGTCAATGTGGATTATTCTCTGTTAATTCAGGATGAGAAACACAGAGAAGTCTATGTGAACCATCAGTATCCTGGAGAATCTTCTTTTTTCTATCGTAAATCAAACGAAAATTATTTTTTCTAGAAATGTCATTTTTCATGAATCCGTCTTTCCTTCCTCTACTCCTATTCCCCCTCTTCCTATTTTTTCCTCAAGATCATGATTGTAGTAGTTCTGATTTTTTACAGCCTGATAATTATTTGATCCTAGTTTATGGACAGATGAATGTTCATCTCCTCAAACATCAGACGATTCTTTTGCTTCATCTCCATACACAATGGATCCTCACTATCCTATCACTTCTTATGTATCTCCTCCCCTTCCTACTTCTACAGTTGCTACCAGGACTGAAAGAGTTGTTACTAAACCTTCTTATCTCAGTGATTATGTGTGTAATGCAATATGCTTCACACAACTCACTTCTTTTTGTTTTATTCCACCTGTTTAGCCATTTATTCTACCTTTTTCAGCCCTCTCTATTTCTAATTAGAACTTGTTAAACTCCATTTCCTCTATCACCGAACCAACTAGTTATGCCCAAGCTTCACTACATGCCGACTGGCAGCAAGCCATGCTAACTGAGTTTGAGGCTTTGATATCTAATCTGACTTGGGAAGTTATGGAACTCCCAACAGGTCACAAGGCTCTACCATGCAAATGGGTTTACAAAGTTAAACATAAATCTGATGGAAGTATTGAGAGACTCAAAGCTTGACTGTGATACGAGGGGATACTCAAAGGGAAGGCATCGACTATAATAAAACTTTTTCCCCGGTTGTTAAAATGACTACTATCAGATCTTTTTTTTGTTGTTGAAGTAAAGAGAAATTGAAAAAATTTCCAGTTGGATATAAATAACGTTTTTCTCCATGATGTTTGAAGAAGTTTATATGAAGTTTCCTTCGGGAATGCATCCCTCTTCTCCTAATCTAGTTTGCAAACTGAAAAAATCTCTTTACAGTTTAAAATAGGCATCCAGACAATGGTATGCCAGACTACCAACAACTCTCAACTTTAAAGGGTATGTGTCTTCTTTAAATGATTACTCTTTATTTTATAAAAAGGACAGGGATCTCATATCAATTGTGGCAGTATATGTTGATGATATTCTAATAACTGGAAACAACTTTAGTGAGTTGAATGCTCTAAAGCAGTTCTTGGATAGTGAATTCAAGGTCAAAGATTTGGGGGCAGTTTTGTTATGCCGTAATTTTACTATCTTTTAGAAAAATCACTTTTTGAAATGTTCCAAGTATAAAACAATTTGAGAAAAATACTTAGAAAAGAGACGCCACTTAATTTTTTTTTTAAAGATATTAAGAAAACTTATAATTTAAAAAGACTCTAACAGATTAAGTCTTTAAACTTAGAGAAAATGGGTAAGAGGTTCTTATTTACGCTTCAAGAAGGGTTTTAAGGCATTTGAAGCGCCCGCTAACACGCGGTTATCCTATGACTTGGTTAAAATATTTTTTGACTATTTTTTAGGAAAATGATTTAATATAAAAATAATAATATTAATTTACAATATTCAATTAACTAGAGAAAATAGTTAAAAGAACAAATTTTAATTTATAAGAAAATTGAACCTTAATTGAAACATTTGAATTGAACCTTATAAGTAAATAAAATTTTAACAAAACTAGATTAATTGAAATTTATTTAATTCATTTTGAAATAATAATTTGAACCAATTTGATTAATTAAAGCATGAAAACTATTTTAAATTAATTGAAGAATAAATAAAAAAAATGACTAAATATATTCGATAAAAGTATAAGAGTTGATAAAAATGAATTATTAAAATAAACTAACATAAAAAATATAGTTAATCTTTTGGAGAATTTAATTAAGTTATTTAAGGTTAGAGTTAAGTGTTAACAAAAAACACAAAGCAATAAATAATCACAATTAAGTAAGTTAAGGGAATAAAGGAGAAGATGAATTTGGACCCTCTTTTTGGGCCAAAATTGCTGCTGCGATTTTGGACTTTTAGCCCATTTTCGTCCCTGTATCACAGTGTATATACCAGAGTATCACAGTATATATCAGCTCGTTTTTCCAATGTATACATCCCATTTTTTTGCTTTCCGAGACCTGTCTCAACTTTCAATTCC